CCCCAATCGTACCCAAGTTCCCGAGCCGAGGCAACTTTGATGATGACGGACACGTGGCCTTAGGCAAACGAGTCAGGGTTTCCTAAATTTCCCAAAATAAAATATTTAGGTGGTGACTCTGTATCTGGCAAAGCAGTCCACGTTTGACACTTCTTTTCAAAAATCTGTTTCTTAAAACGATTTGCCGGATTTGGACTCTTTGGTTCAGATTTAGAACCGTGACAAATTTAAGAGTCCTGAGCTGTAGTGACCCCAAATGAACAGAACGGGAGCTTGTTCCTTCCGGGGCGTTCGGGGACGTCTACACTCTCTTTTACCACACATGTGATTACTGGCTCCGGAATCTAGATACCAAACATTGTTTTGGTTTTCAGTGTCTCCATGGTGGACAAACAGAATTGTAGGTCCAACTTTGTTTGTTTCCTTTTCGGAAAAATTTGCTTGCTCTCCAGCTTCTGTTGTTGCTTTACTTCAGCATTCATTACTGTAATGCCCGAACTCGGGGTACTAGTAGCACTGAACATTGCTTTTGTCAAATCTTGGTCGGTTGTTGTAACCACCTCCTCTACCTCTTGCTCTTCCTCTTAGAGCAAAGTGTGGTTGACTTCTTCCTCCTTTGGCTGGACTTCTTCTGCCTCTTCCTCTAAAACTAGAATTTCAGTTATTGTAACCACAGCCTCTTCCTCGGCTTCTTTGTGATGTCCCCCTTTGCTCGTTTCTGTCATCTCTGAAAGACAACTTTGATTGAAGAGCTTGCTCTAGAGAACTTGATGGAGTCTTGTTGTTGATCCTTTGTTCATGAATCTCAAGTGTGCCTATCAACTCATCGGTGGTCATGGCACTGAGATCTTTGGACTTTTCTATTGCTACAACCACATGCTCGAACTTGGGACTGAGTGATCGGAGAATCTTCTCTATCACTTGAAGAGATTCCATCTTCTCTCTATATCTTCTCATCTGATTAACAATGGTCAATGTTTTGTTAAAGTACTCAGAAATTGACTCATTCTCATTCATGTGCAGCATCTCGAATTCGCCACGTAACACCTAGAGTCGAACTCTGATCGTCTTCTCAATTCCACGATATGAGTTGTGAAGAATACTCCATGCCTCTTTAGAGGTTGTTACTGCTGAAATCTTCTCAAAACTTGGCTCATCAGTGCCTTGATAGAGTAAATACAAGGCCTTTTTATCTCTCTTCCTTGAATCTTTTAACGCTGTCTTCTGAGCATCATTTAAATTTCCTTCATCTGTGAGAGTAACTGGCTCGTCATATCCTCGATCCACTAAATCCCACAAATCTTGTGAGGTTAGTAGGACTTGCATTTGAATACTCTAATTTGCATAGTTTTCCTTGTTGAGTTTTGGAAACGGGGACTGAAAGAAGTTGTTTGTGTTGGCCATTGGTTGCCTTTAAAAATCTGTAAATTTTCATATTGGAATTTGCAAATTCTGACGATACAGATGTGTCCGGAATACTCCAAACAGTTGGAAAGCACTATTGGATCACCATAAACAGACTCCGAATGGCTTAGATTAAGCCAAAACAAATTGAACGGTTCAGATCTGTGGCTGCACCTTAGCCGCGTCACACTAGATTAATCCTTTGTGTACTGATGTCAGCGGCTCAATCAAAGACTCAGTCAACGCGGCTTGGTTAGCGGCGCGACTCAGGCTCGGCTCAGTCAGCGGCTCAGATCAACGGTGGCTCGGCTTGGTCAATGGCTCAGGTCAACAGAGGCTCGGCTCGGCTCAGTCAACAGCTCTGGTCAACGGCGGCGTGACTCGGCTTGGTCAAAACTGGTCAGCGGCTCAGATGACTTCAGGCTCTGGTGCACGCACGTGTGGCGCGTGCTTGTACGTTGGATGATGCGTCTTCTTCCTCTGGCTGTGCGTGTGGCGCGTGGGTACATGGTGGTGCGTGAGAACGACGTCAAAAGGCACGTAGGGTGCGTTCGGGGCTGTCCAATCTGCGTTTTTGACGCGGTTTTCACAGTTGTGCTCGTCCGTCGAGAGCTTTAAGCTGATGTGATCAAAAATGGATTTTGACTACTTTGATTTCTGGGCAATTTTTGAAAACACTCTGTTCTTGAAAATTTTGCAGAATGTCTACAAATTCAAGCTACCTTCAGCTCTGATACCACTGTTGGTGAGAGTGGGATGCAAACCACTATTGGTGATTCAGAATGAGAGGTTTAAAAACTGAACCAAACCGAAATTAAATTCACTCAAAATAAATTCTGAAAAACAAACAGAGCACTCTTGCTCTTTCTTCTCTGACACTCTCATCTATATTTGATACACCACACATAGCGATATATATAGATAAACTAGCAGTGTGAACATATTTATTGCAGATACAGTTATTAGTGTGAATGCATTTAATGCATATACGGCTATCAACCACCGCATTGAATGCAGCAACCAACGCATTGAATGCAGCCTCAATCAAGATTACTTCACAACAAACCATTATTCAGCAATAGTTCTTTTCACTACTCATACACAATTCAAATTGTTGTCCCATTCCCCTTAGACTCTGCAATACCATAGTTTCTTGCTCCCAAACTCTACTGTGTTCAACAATTTATTTTCCAGGTCATTTGTGTTTGTGCATCTCGATATAGAAGAATTTGAGTCAAACCCATCAAAAACATGAAAATTAAGCATTTAGTGTTTAATCAAATACACTTGCAAAAGTTCCCATTTTTCAACCACAAAATAGAACTACAATAAATTCTGTGAATGATAAATTGTACATTTGTCTTCATACCAATAAATTCAATGATAGATTTTGGGGTATTGCAATGAATTAAACTTATACAAATTTAATTTTAGAACAATTCAATACCAAAAAAAAAAAAAAAAATTTTTACGAGAAGAGAAGGAAAACCCAGATATCAAATACCTGGATTGGATGCTCTTGTGAACTTTATTATGGAATTCAACAATCAAGTTAAGTTTTGCAATGCCAAACTAACCTGCCAACAATTTGATGAAAATACAAAGATTTATAAGACATCAAAATTAAAGTCAAAAAAGAAAAGGTGAACATAATGTTGAGAAGCATGAGTGTACTGCTCGAAGATTGAAGCTTCAACGCTCCAAAAACCTTGGTCACACAACTACTAAAGGAAACAAAAAATTCCAATTCCAGATTCAATGGAATGTATAGAACATACACATCTATACTATAGTCGGCTAAATCAAGATAGTGAAAGAGGATTAATGTGATGTGACCAGGGGTTTACAAGCAGTGATCTGATGGATTTTTTTGATCAGCCAATGAGTAAGTGGGTTTCTTGCCTATCAAGGGGCACCTTTTAACTTTGTAGTTCAGATTACTTGGATTCGGATTTGGTGGGTTTTCAGTTAATATATCATAACAATGAGCGGGTTGTGTGTTGATTGTGGGATTTAAGTCTATTTTATTTTCTCTTCCTTTTGGATTCTGATAAAAATTTAGCATATCTCTTATCTTACTCCATAAGTAGGCAATGGCAAGTAGTTAAATTTTCTAATCAAATTTCTTTACTTCTACAATTTATATGCTGCTATACATGTACATGGCTACCAATTTTGGTAACACACCAAGAATAGAGTCAGATTATATATAAAAGCTACCTTGCAAACAATCACAATTCTCGGCCTCTTTGTGAACAACATCGAGAACAGAATCGCTCAACTCAGCGCGCCCTCAATGTAGTGACCTTTGGCCCAATTAAAAACAAAAAAGCTCCAAAGAAATGTTATTTTTGCTGAATGGGATGCTGAATTTGGATGGAATAACCTCTATTTTTGTTGAATTTGGATGGGCTAAGCACGCTGGAAGTCCATAATGATGAGTGTTTGTTAAAGGTGGGAGTTGTTGAACTTGGGAAGTTATTCAATGTGGGAAGTTAGACAGATAGTTATATTTTGTGAGTTAGTAATTTATGATTTTACCCTTAATGATAAATTGATATGAGTTTAAAAATAGTATAATTATTGAAGAAGTTAAGACTGCTTTAGGAAAATTAGTAAAAAAAAATTCTGAAAATATGACTTTAGACCTCCTAAGTAGCTGTTAGCTTTTAATAATAGTATAAATGGTAAATTGTAATAGTACAGTTTATATTCTCCCAATAAGGGTGAATGTAGTTTTGCCACTTCCCAAAACTACGTTGGTTTCAATAGAGAATCTTCATGTGGTTCTTGACCTTGGCTGTCACCGACACTATAGGAAAAAAAGGTTATGGTGGCGTTTTTTTAACGACGTTTTTTTAAACGTCACTATTATTAACATTTAACGGCATTTTATAAACGCCGCATATTATTGTAACCAAAACAGCACCGTTTTATAATAGGAGGCGTTCAAAAACGCCTCCGAATGCGGTATACCACATGCGCCTTTTCAATCCTTATTTTGTATCTGGCCCTCTCTCAGCCCATACGCATACATCATTTTGAATATGAGCCCTCTCTCTCTCTCTCTCTCTCTCTCTCTCTCAACCCTCTCTGAGCTCCATCGAAGATTCAGATATTCAAAGCTCCATCGAAGCAATTTCGGAGCTTCATCGAAGCTCCAGATCGAACCGATTTCGAAGCTCCGTCGAAGATTCAGAGATTTCCATCGAAGATTCAGATATTCGAAGCTCCATCGAAGCAGTTTCGAAGCTCCATCGAAGCTCTAGATCGAACCGATTTCGAAGCTCCAGATCTGAACTCTGACCCCTTGATTACTCGCATTTCAAGTAATATGCACATTTCGACCCAATTCTTCATTTCCCAAGCCGCTCGACTCGGTACACTTTCGGTGAGTCCTCTCTCTCTCTCTCTCTCTCTCTCTACTTAGATATGTCCATGTATTTGTATATGTATTTGTTGATTATGTTGATCTTTAGTCTTTACAGCTTACCATGTAGAATATGAGAAGTTATTAAAGTAGAGTTCAATGGGTTACTGATTATTTCCACATCTGAATTTGTGTTCCTTAATTAAGTGTATATGTATATATGTGTTTATTTTATTTTTTTATTTTTTTTTGTATAGACACAAATTGGTGAATTTTGACAGTGTTTGTTCTTCAACTTATAATTTGGTGATCATCTAGTTCTTTATACCTTTCTTTGTGATTATGTGTTTTTCCTCACTGTCTCTTTCTTTCACACAAAGTGTTTGATAAAATGCCAAGGTGAAATTTATATAATTTGTTGGACTTGAAACTGATGCACACTGTGTATTATGTAACAATGAGAATTTGCTGAGAAATGAAGAAGAAATGGTTGAGTAGTGGAATGTGTATATATGAGCAGATCAAGTGAAGAAAAAGAAAGAAACAGAGCTTCAAAGAAGAAGATGAGAAATAATTCTTATTTTCTGCAGATTCAATACATCACAACTTCACATAATATATTTCTTGATTTTCTCATCTCTCTCACATCCCTTTTTATAGCAGATTTTGTCTCACATTAGAATTCATAGCTAATTAACTGCCAGTTGGTTATACTTCTAGTAGGGTTTTTTCTTTTTCTTTTTTCGGTTGATAAATACCTCTAGTTTGTCTTCTCTCCATTTGCCATGTCATGTAACAACCCAACAACTAAGAATAGTTCTATCAATTTGCCATGTCATGAAACCATTCTATCAATTGAGTTAAGCCTAATACTGAAACCTGGAAGCAAAAAAAAAGTTTTGTTTGGCAAAGAGTTCTGTCTACTCCATTGTCACCAGGAGTGGGTTAACTAAGATCATTTTGAGCAGTTTATCTCCAGGGAAAGAATTCATCTGTAGCATATTTGAATTTTGTGACTGTGCCTAAAGTTTGACTCTTTTTGTGATTATATCATTGAAATTGACATACGCCTCCCATGAGGTCCTCTTGCATATTGTATTGAAGCTCAAAGAAAAGCACCTTATTTGGCTTCAATAAGCGATCCCTTGAGACTTTCAATGTGCTACTTCTTCATAATTATTTTCACAATTGGTCTTTGTTTGTGGTGGCTAAACATCTCTTCTATACCTCCTAATTTTTGTGGGAGTACACAATATTCTATTCACTAGAAGATACTTTAGCCTTCGTTATCCTTCCCAAACAAAGGAAACTTCCTTGGCAACATCACGATTCTATGGGTGGGTGATGAGACCACCCCTTTGGAATCACAAGTCTGTTCATCATTGAATAATGAGTCTATTCATCATCATAAGGTATATTACATGATATTTTTTGTGTATCTATTGTTATAGGGAAACAAAAAATCTTTGCGTGTTAATGAGCCATAGTTTCAAAAGCAGTGGAAGCTTTAACTTGTTTTGAAGAAATATAATTTTTAATATGATCACTGGGCATGGAATTAACTTACATATCATCTTCTTAAATGATACTTGGCAATATTATTAAGTCGGACTCTTGGCCTCATGGTGACTTGGGCTTGTAAAGGTGTCCTGCAATGTGTTTAAACACCATTGGATGCATTACCTATATGCTCCTTTTTGTTTATTACGTCTTTTCTTTTCTGTCTTTTATATAAATTGAATGTTGTTTGTAAGTCTGTAGTTTCTGCCTTGTAGGTTGAGCAGTTGCATAAAATTTTTAAGCTTTGTACTCTGAGGTATACTGGAGAAAGTCAAAGTTGCCTCATGCTACCATTTTCAAGCCCCAACAGCCTTATAGACGCTGTGTTGCAGATACATTTAAGGACTTCCCTGCACAAGCCTTAGAGCTTATGGAGACCCTACTTTCCATAGATCCTGCTGATCGTGGTTCTGCAGCTTCTGCTCTACATAGTGAGGTATGAACTATGAAGTTTCTTAAAAGTTGAATTTTCTGGAATGCTCTTGGTTCGTTTGTTCTTCAACTTGTAATTTGGTGATCATCTAATTCTTTATACTTTTCTTTGTGATTATTTGTTTTTCCTCACTGTCTCTTTCTTTCACACAAAGTGTTTGATAAAATGCCAAGGTGAAATTTATATAATTTGTTGGACTTGAAACTGATGCACACTGTGTATTATGTAACAATGAGAATTTGCTGAGAAATGAAGAAGAAATGGTTGAGTAGTGGAATGTGTATATATGAGCAGATCAAGTGAAGAAAAAGAAAGAAAATAGAGCTTCAAAGAAGAAGATGAGAAATAATTCTTATTTTCTGCAGATTCAATACATCAAACTTAAACCTGCAATCTCACACTTGGCAGCCCAAACTTCTACCATTGCACCCAACAATGGCCCCTTGTCAGTATTACATATTTGATGTTCAATAAACTTTCTGGTCTGACTTTGTCCATTAAGTAATAGGTCAGGGGTCAGTTTGCAAATATGATTAGTGACACGTATTTTTGGTGTCTGCTTCCCCAAATCATTGTGAACTTTGGAAATAACTGTAGTAAACCGCGGTCATTTTGTCTGTGTAGAGCTCTTGATGCTTTTTTCTTTTATCATTGAACTCTCTCTCTCTCTCTCTCTCTCTCTCTCTTATGAGTATTGTTGAATTATTTTTGTTTGGAACTAATTATTATTCTCATTTCTGGTCATTTATTAAATTACAGCAATATTTTTCCTTGGCTGATATATATTTTCTCATTGAGGAACTTGTTTCTTTCTTTTTGTGGAGTCTTTTTGTGGAGTCTTTGACTTTGTCCATAAAGTGCTTGTTTCTTATTATATGCTAAATATATTTTCTCATTGAGGAACTTGTTTCATTTTGTCTGCCTTCCGTTTAATAACTAGTGGCTTAATTGTGCTATGTATTGTTTTTCAGGGAGAGTTCCAACAATACAAGAGGGAAATAGAATGGAAAATATATTTAGTTTTCCACGGTCGAAAGATAGTCCTATTGTTCTTGGTATGCGTCATGTAGATAGCACAACTTGCTGCAGCTCTACATTTATAGATCCCTTGATTTTAAACTGAATTTTGTTATGACTATTGAGCAGGACCAAGATTTAAGGATGCATTCAATTCTTTGTGTTATATTGCCAGTAATTTAGTATAGTTGTATAAGATGATTTTACCTTGAATTACAGGCTCATGTGCTTCTGCATATCATTTACTCATCAAATCAGAATCAGCCTCCTTATAGGAAGCATCGAGAAACTGATCATTCAGTGTTTATGCGTTCTATTACCGATCTTCAATCTCATATTACTGAATCTTGTAAGATGGTCTCAGCTTTATATGGGCCTTTCAAGAGCAAAGCTACAGAACAGGTAGGATGAATTTTTATAATTTGATTTTTTTTTTCTTCATATTTAATCAATATTGACTCTTGTTAGCTAAAATGTGTAAGTTTGCCCTGTAATTTTCCTTAATGAATGAAGATTAGTTATGAATTATATAAAAACAAACTGAGAGGTTAGGAAGATAAGATACATAATTGTCCATTCTAAAAGGTTTATCCGTGTTATCATCTGCTAGCAAGCGATTTGTGATCCAGTTTGCACAATCTGAAATATGGGGCCTGCACTAAATTGGTGATGAGAGTTATTGTTTCTTTCACTCTATGTTGCTAATATAAAAATGACAAACTGAACATTTAGACTTTAAATTTTGGGAAAAATGTTAACCATACATAACTCAAGAAACTCAAGAGAATAGTGCAAACAGGAAGCAAATTGTGTTGTGACCTTGACATGGTCAACTCATGTTAGGTATTTTCTGCTTGGTACTTTTGAAGGACTTATCCCCAAACAGAGAATGGATTTTCATTGTTTTCTGTCTTTAGGTATTTAGCAAATGTTAACCATGCATAACTCAAGTATTATTTTCTGTCTTTAGGTATTTTGGCTTGAAAAGATCAAACAGAGAATGGATTTTCATTGTTTTAAGTATTCACCACTGGGTATTCTAATCAGTCTGTCTCTACCTTTACAGCTGGGAGCCCCGTTCATACCTGGAAGTAGACTCCACAAGTCATTACAGGCAAGTTAATTATATAGTTACATTAATTTCTTTATTTTTCTTATTTTACACTATTATGAGAAATTAATAATAAATTTGAAGATGGGTTGTTTCAGGCAAAGAAGAAAATGTTTCAGGCAAAGAGGGAATATGATGGAGTTTTTTTTATTTGTTCTTGTTCTTTTACTTTTCCCTCCCTCTAATTCTTTTTATCTTGTTTAATTGGATTATAGCGTACTGTATGGTTCCAAATGTATCATCTGTTGCATATAGTTTAGGCTCATCTTTGGATATAGTTGGAAGACAAGTGGTATTTTTAATATTATAAGCCATATTAGTTTGCTTTCTATTCCTTTTTAATTTTTTTTGGGCAAATTACACTTCTTGACCATTTTGATTTTAATTGATGTATTTAAAGTCTGAATTGTTTTTATTCTTAGGTATGCAATGCATTGTTTCTTATTTTTAAATTTGTTTTCAAGCTTAGTTTATTTATTATTTTAATAAACATCAATTATTAGTTCTTGATAATTATTTGACAGGTATTTTTCAAGGTTAGGTTATTTATTATTTTAATAAATATCAATTATTAGGTCTTGATAATTGTTTGAAAGGTATTTTTTTTGTTCAACCATATAAAATTAGTCTTGATAATTGTTTGAAAGGTATTTTTTTTGTTCAACCATATAAAATTAGCACAATTTAAAAATTAAAAAAAAAAGGTTATGGCTGCGTTTAAAAAACGTCACTATATCCCATCCCAACGACTAGATTTTTAAAATGTATGAACGTCTATGACGGCATTTTCAAAAATGTCGCTAAATGTCATAGTGACGTCATTGCCAACTAGGAAGGATATTTGGCGGCGTTTTTAAAAACGCCGCCTATAGTAATATAACGATGTTTTTCAAACGTCATAAAGTTATAGCGACGGCCGCGTCGTCAGCGTTATGTACTAAACGCCACAAAAAAAAATAGCGACGTTTTTAGTGCTTTTAGCGGCGTTTTTTAAACACCGCTAAAAGTGAATTTTCCAGCAGTGCGATGTATCACTGGTCTAATTTCCTTGCTATGTATCATCAATAAATTCCCGTTGCTGTTTTTCAAAAAAAGAAAAAAAAAAGAAAAAAAAAAAGATAGAGAGGGTGGTATATTGAAACGTAAGATTAGAAAATGAAAATTTTGTATATCAGTGTAAAACTTAATAAATAACTATAAATAAGTGATAAAATTTGTAAATATTAGTAATTAAAATTATAAAAAATTTCATAAATATGTAATAACTTTTTCAAAATATCACTAATCGGTAATTTTTCCTGGCTAAGAGAGTGCACCTCCAAGTCATAGGCTGTCTAGATTAAATACAAATGCAGGCAGGATGCACCTAATGCTAAGAGAGGCCTTATTTGGCAGAGTGTTTCTTAAATTAAAAATTGATAATCTGAAAATAGAAATTAAAAGCATCTATTTCTCAATTTTTAAATAATTAGTTTTTTTTCAACTTATTTAAGTTATTTCTCCCTAATAAGCTATAAATGGAAATTACATCAAACAGTTTGATATAGATTTCTAAATTTAAAAAAAAAAAATTGTAGTTTATGATATATCCATTATTCCTCATTAAATCTTAGTAATCTGTGTATGTGTCTAAGAAAACTGTAAGTTTAGAATTCTTCTACGTACCACCACGAAAAAATGGTCACGAAATTTGTCACCAAATCGTGCTAGATAAACAACTTTAGTAGGGCCAACATCACTTTTTTAGTGTTAAAAAAAAATGGCCAAATGTAAATTTGTGACACTTTCAAGACCTTTTTGTTATCTCTAAATTTTTCTTTTCTTTTCTTTTATGATGTATCTCCCTTATTGTTCATCAAAGCTGAGCAAACTGAGAGAGAAATAGAGATTAAATTTTGTGGTCTATATTATATTCACTAGCTTAGCAAACTTTCAAGAACCCTTATTCTTGTTAAGAGGTTGATAATTTAAAGTAGCTTGGCCAACATTCACTGGCTTAGCGTTATTTATATGTTATAAATCCTCCATATAAAAGTCAACAAATTAATTATGCAAATATAATATATCTGGAAGAAATCTAATCTCCTGTCTCATTCTCTCCTAAACTCCAATCATAGAATATGGGCGACGATAGTCCCATAATAGAGGGGTAGGGGTGTAAAATTGGTTCATTTGCCCACGCCCCACTCAAAACCCACCCATGGTCCGGCCAAGCCTGAGCATGAGCCCAGCCCATGACCCTGGGCTGTGTGTTTTGAGACCCGGTCTGAAGCCCAGTCCAGAGACCCACTCAAAGCCCTCTCCAAGGCTTGCTTGACCCGCCCGAGGCCTAATGTTATTTTCAAGCTATTTTGTGGAAAAAAAATAAAAAAATAGTTAGGCTTGGCCTAGGCCCGCCACAAGTTCGAGACTAAGCACAGGCCTGCAGCTCGATTTTGAGCAAGCTTGGGCTGAGAATTTTTCCACGTGGGTCAACTTGCCCCGCCCCAAAATTTGGTGGGAGCCCGCAAGACCCGATGTTGGCTGGCCCAAGCCTGGCCTGGTGGTTAGGTCGAGCCAAACTGAGCCGAATTTACACCCCTAAATAGAGGGCTTTTGGTTCATAGAGACAGACAAGAGTAAGAAAAAAGACCCTTAGGTGCCAGGAACATGTTTCGTCCACAATCGTGGTAGTGGTGGAAATAAGTACCAATTTTTTAAACTCCCAAAACTTCTGTACAAGTCAAAATAAAACCACAAGCATAGCAATTTCTGGCATTCAATTTTTTCTTCAAATAATTTTCCTTCTATAAACGCTCATAAGTTAAAGAAAAATGTCAATCTTTGATGAAGTGATGATGGGCTAGTTGCCTACTTTCAGAACTGTTGGTTCTCAGGACCCTCCAACCAAACAACTACTAAAAGAACTTATACATTTACCTGCCAAGAAATAAAGACATAAAACCGAAAGTAATACAGAAAAATAACAATGAAGACAACAACAATAGAGAAAAGTTCAAGAAAATTAGAACCTTTTGCAAAGTTGAAACCGGGTTATGGTTCTTGGAGAAACTTGAAGCACAAGAAACCGAATTACTGTGAGAGAGAATGGCAGGGCAATTCTCCTTTGGCAAAGCAGAATGTATGCATGTGTTTGCATGGTGATCTCCTTGCCAGAGGAGGACCGCCCTGTTATTCTCTAACCCCTCATATTTGCCTTTTCTTTGAGCACCTGAGATCGAGCTCCATCTTCCACATGAAGTAGCAAGCCATTGTTATACTACTCAGTTCGCACATTGGTTTTGGATATGCTAAAGGAAGGAAGAAGCATATGCTTGGCACAATTCCTGTGGGAAGGTTCTTTTGTGTTATTCATGGGGGCCATGCATGCATGGTCCTGATTCTCTCACTAAAAATCTCACTCTCTCCAAAGGCCAAGAACATCTTCACCTTTTTTTCTCTTATCCTTTTTTTTTTTTTTTTTGTGGTGATTTAGATAATATCATATGTTGGAAAAGAATACGCACACTAAAAATAGATTATACTTAAATCACTTATTTCTCACATTTTATTCGAATCTATAAATGTATTAATCTTGTTCACCTTTATAATTGTGAATAAAAAAAAATACGCACACTAAAAAAAGATTATACTTAAATCACTGATCTCTCACATTTTATTCGAATCTATAAATGCGTTAATCTTGTTCTCCTTTATAATTGTGAATAAAATGTTTCCCATCAATAATGGTTTTGTTTGATGAGTAGTGCAAGGACTTAATATAATGGTTTTGTTTCGTGAGTATGTTGTGCGGAATATTTTAAAAAGTATTTGTAAAATAAAGTGCATAACGTAGATTTAAATTTTTTTTATAATTATATTCTACTTAAAATGAATTTGATTGACATATTTTATTTTCTAAATTTTATTTATTTATTTATTTATTTTTGTATATATATATATTTTTTAGATATATAACCTTGTCATTGTTCTATAGTGAAAATGGAATTTGATATTTTCCACAACCAATAAAAACCAAAATGTACCTTTTGACCCCCGCTTGAGAGAGAGAGAGAGAGAGAGAGAGAGAGAAATAAATAAAAAAGGAGGTTGTATTGGAATGGAACTATTGTTGACAATTTTATAATTTAAATGTTATTATAAGGATAATGTGAGTATATAGCTATTTAATTAATCCTTTGACAAGGGCACATAATATGTCAAGCCTAAAAGGTTATCACTCTTTTGTCATAAAATTTTATTATGACCATTCCACATCATTTATGAGTATGGCGGTAAACGAGCCGAGTTGAATTTTGCTGAGTTTGAGCTTGACTCATTTATTTATCGAGTTCGTTTATTGAGCTCAAGTTCAACTCGATAAGGAACTGGGCTCGAGCTCCGCTCGACTTGTTAATATTAATGAAATTCGAGTTCGGCTTGGCTCGGTTCGGCTCGATAATTTTTTTAATATTATTTATATTCTTTAAATAAAAATATTTGAATAAAAAATGTTATTTATATTATTTAATATATAAATAATGTATTTATACTATTATTTATATATTTATATATTATTTAATATATAAATAATATATTTATTATATAATTTAAATATAGATAAACAAACCGAGCTGAACCGAGCTGAGCCGAGCCTTTAACGAGCTGAATCAAGCTTGTTCATAAACAGTTCAGTTCATTTGCAGTCATATTTATGAGACAACACATCCTTGTCCATTAACAGTTTAGTTGCAATTAATGTAATATAACTGCGTTTATCAAATTTTATATTAATTATATTATAATTAATGACAATCACAATATTTAAAGAGTAATGTTAGAGATTTTAAAAGTTTTACCAAAATGTGGGTCTCACACCCATGTGAAACATTTGATAAAAATTTTAGTAGAACTTTTGGGATCTCTAACATTTTTGCTCCTTTAAATATTCCCTTTCAAGAGTAATTTTAATATTATAAAATTTGATTGTTGCTACAATTAATGGAAGTGGTTGAGAAAACTTAGAATTTATTAACTCCTCATTAGAAATATTCACTAACCTTTTGATATAAATTTGATCATGAAATAAACCTAGATGTTTGTTGTCTAACACTTTTTATTATTGTTATTATTATTATATATAAACTATGTTAATAATTACATTTTAACAAGTGCATTGGAGCACTGTTAACATTTAAAATTAAAATTTTAAAAAAGAAACACTCAAAACAAAAATATTATTATATGTCATCAATTCTTTGTCACCGTTTAATTAATCACCTTCTATATGATATCTGTGATTGATTATGTTGTTTGGAAATCTGATTTTGTGTTGTATTATTTTTGTCTTTATGATATTTCAAGTTTGTGCCATCGTCCCCAAAATACAAGTGTGATTAGAAAATGTGTAGATCAAACATTCACATTATAAATAAATAA